GCAGCAGACCGAGAGACCTTTGTGGCGAAGTTGAGAACATGGGCTGAGAACGAGAGTGTGCCAGGGAGGGTCATTGAAGTCAAGTTGAAACGAAACGATTGGCAGAGACATGGTTTCTACTACAAGTTGTTTTGCCGATCGTGTACCAAGTGCGTCAAAGGTCAAGGTTGGACTGGATGTGGACGATACAGTCCAAAAACGCAAGACATGTTTGTCACTGCCACACCTGTCAATTCTCACGGCGATTTCCAGCACCAATATGGCGAAAGAGAGTCTTCGTTGACTTCGGAAGCGAAGGTAATTCGGCCGCAAAGACAGGAATAGTTTCATATGAGCCACCGCAATCTCCGCTGCCACCCACTGCATACCGCACGGGGTCTGGCCTTGAGAATTTTGGTTTGGTCAGTATTGGCTAAGTTCCCTGTATGGTGGTGTTTGTGGACAATCACACCCTTCATAGGTAGCAGCAAAGACGTCGCGACAGCCAAACGCCATGGTCCTGAAGCACATCCTGGCACCTGCCGCTGTTGCTGCCTATATAATGATGCTTTTTGAAGCCTCAAGAAACAAGCTCCAAATGCAGTAGCCAATTTCCCAAAGGAAGGCTTTGTGAGAGCCAAACGCGAAGGCCGCTGGTGTTCGCTTTTCCCTCAATGCACCCCCTGCTGACGGCCGGTGGCTGTGAATAGGGAAGTTGAAAAGCCTATGAAGAGGTGATCCGTGACACTGTGGCGTAATTTGGCCTGTGATGAACGAATCGGTATAAGAGGTGTTGTTGGCCAACATGGGCCCTGCGAAAGGTAAGTGTGGAGTTCGCGAAAGTGTCGGGAAAGCTTTTTTTATATTCGCGAAGAATGGCCGTTCCCGGATACAGAAATATAAGTTTAAATATAGTTATAAATACAAAGTATATATATATATATACATACGTAAAGAAAATGGATAAAAGTATTTTTGATTGCTTTCTTTTTTTTGTTCCTAGACCTTGTGACTTCTGACATAGATCAAGATTGAGTTGTGTCATTGCCGGTTTGTGTTGCGAACTGCTGAGTTCGCGGTATGCAAATGCAAGGTTGAAATTGCGAATTACCTGGTGAAGACGAAAGGAGCAATGCGGATTCAACACCTGATGCAGTTTTTGAAGACGAAGTTGGGAGCAGATAGGTTGCCTGATGAGAAGGTTGTTGGAACATATTTGAAGAATGTTCGTCTCAGAGGTGGAGAGGCGCGATGAAGCCGTGGTTTGCGTGTACGTTTTTGTCGGCGTCGATAAAGTTGGACCACGCCATCATGATTTGACTATCTTGCTTTGTGACACTTTGATTTGAGTCATGCGTCTCATTTCCACGCAAGCTATACGAAAGCAATGCTGCTAGGTGACAATACAAAGACCTGATTCGCTGACCTGGACAGTGGCCGACTTCGAAGCTATACTAGATTTTTTGCCGGATTGCACCGACAAGGACTGTGATTTGGCATGCGTCCAGGCTGACTTGGGACCAGACCTGGCAGTAGTGTTAACATGTCCTCGGCTCTTCAGAGCCTGAACTGAGCATTGCGTTTCTTTTGCCGTTTTTTTCGCCAAGTAATGTTGCTGAATGGGGGCTGGACGATGTAGGCTTACAAGTTAATAGTTTTTTTCACTGCAAGATACTCAATGGTTAAAAATGCTTCTTTGGAATTGGCTAAGGGCACACCCTTGAGAGGGTTGAGAACACCGCCTTGAAGCTATGCTGTGACGGTGTTTACCGGAGTTCACGGGAAGGCTTTGTTGTGTGCACCTTGGGGGTGCTGGTGAAGTCAGAGGATCCACCCACGAAGCTTCAGTATGGTGCTGATCGTGGTTTCAGCACTTCCTTTTTGGAGCTGCTGGTGGCAATTTGTGCCTCGGAGTCGAAGGCATCGTACCGGCAGCTTTTCCAAGCTTTCTGGAGAGCTGTCCATTCTCTATGCCAGGCGACTGGGGTCAAAGCGGGAGAAACATGTCGCATAGATGCACAGTTCTCTCTCTCTCTCTCTCTCTCTCTCTCTCTCTCTCTGCCTCTCTGTAATTATCGCTCTTCTTTATGCTACCTAGGTGATTGTTGCTTGCCAGGACTTGGGCCCATTCACGGTTCATCAGCTGCACGGAGACTGGCACCTTGGCCTCCGAGCTGCCATCGCAGCTGAATTTCCTGATGCCCGCTACGTTGGGGACTGGAGCCATTTCACTGGTGTTGTGCGTCGCAAAGGGGTCCAGGGCAGCAGCGCTGAGGAGGTGAATATCACTCGCTGGCGTGCTGGGGTTTTTGTGAATCTGCGTGACGAGCTTTCCGACAAGGAGTTGGTGCAGGATCTGGAAAGATTCATACACTGTGCCCGGTGGTTGCCGCAAGTTGTCTTCAGCCTGTACATCGACGAGGTGCTGGCATTCTTGGAGAGCAAAGGAGAACTTCGGGCCGCCTTGCTGCTGAAGCAAACCTACCTTGTACGCTGTGTCAACTGACTGCATGAGTGTGTTTTTCAAAGACAAGTACTTTCTTGTTTCCCATGTTGCTACATCTGCTGAGTCTGTTGTCGACATTGATTTCGAGAGTGCATGTGTTTGACAAAACTGTTGACATATGTTGATAAGACGGTGTGTTGCAAGGATCTGTGAAATTGTTTGCTGGCAATGTTTTGTGCAGGATGATGTTCTGTGGGATGCCAGTTGGAGAGCTTCTTGGGATTGCCAATCCCCAGGAAGCAACTGTGGGTCCCAGCCACAAGAGATATGGCATAAGCATCGGTGGCGAGGAGGCATCAGGCATTTAAAGCTCAGCTTGCCAGCGTTGATCGAAGCTGTTTCGGAGTTTATGTCTTGCAGAGCTGATGTGGCCCTGAAGAAAGAATCGAAGCTGGTGGACGTACCAGGGCGTTATCTGGACCACGATTTTCTGGAAGGAGGTGCCTTGGCCAAGCATGGCCGCAGTGTTGCGACGGAGTTTGTTGCGCAGAAAGGCATTGCTCGTATCGAGCAGGTCGTGGACAGTGAGGCCCACATATTCTTTGTCATGTTGAAGAGTTTGTGGGCGCGCAACGAAAACGAAGATGGCTACCAACAAAGAGCCCAAGTAGAAGTACCGGTAGAGAAGGCTGAGGCGCTGGTGGGCTTCATGTTGAGCACTACCGTGGCCGAGGCGCGGCGGTGGCTGCCACGCTTGGGTCTAGCAGAGCCAGTTGATGTTCATCACCTGAGTGGAGTTTTGTCCAAGTACGCTGTGTGCAGCTTGGGGCCAATGAGTTGTCGGAGTTGGAGATTGGCAGGTCCACCGCCAGAAGCTGGGACAGTTGCAAGTCTCCACTACTGCATCACTTGCTGGTCCTGCAAAACCTACATGTGCAGCGGGGCGTGTGAGCACACATATGGAAGCCTGCTGATGGAGAAATATGTGGATTTGAGTCAGCCTTGGTTGAAAGAGCGAGGTGTGAGAAAGAAGAAGCGGCAGCCTTCGCAGCGGAAAGTGCCTGCTGTGCCAAAGGCAAAGGCAAAGGCCGGGGCACAGTCACCATGGAAAGGTTTGACCAAAGAGGATCGCATTGCTGCGTTACGCGCTTTGTATCCGCGTTAGAGATGTGATAGAGCACCATGAAACCGTCATGGCTACGAAAAGAAAAAAGGAAGGTTGCGACGGGCTTTGGATTTGGATGTGTGACATTGAAATTTCAAAGTTGTTGAAGTTATATCGTTGCTCATCTCAGGAAATGCACAGGAAGCTATTCAATAGATTGAAAAACGTAACCCATTGAGTGCGGATTGCTATGTGTGTCGGTTTGGAAAGAAAACTTGAGGTTGCGACGTGTTTTGTCTGCAGAGTGCCAGCTGAAAGTTTCCCACTTTCATTCTTGGAGTTTGTCTCACAGATGGGAGGGAGGGGTTTGCATTGGACGCATGAGATGGTAGCACACGCACTATTCCAGCAGTACCGTCATGACGGTTTCATGTGTTGAGGGGTTGTGAACTTAGTTATCCGTGGTGGCTGGTTGCATTGCAGCCTTCAAATACTCGGAAGCCCGCGCCTTGGGATTTTCGGAAATGGTTTTTGCAGATGCATGATCCCACGGCATGAAAGCTGACAGCATGAATGTGTAAGCGATAATGTTTATAGACAGTGACAGTTTTTTGTATCAGTTGGACACCGACTTGTCAAGTATGGTTCGGAAGCAGAAGCCAGCCAGTATAGCCTGTGTGTCGAATGGCGTCGCATGCGCCATCCTACAATTTTCCCCTGTGTCTGGACTAAACAATGCTGTGTTACTGCAAAGAAAGCGTTGAAACTTGCGTTTTTTTCTTGGAATATAGAAGACATGCAAGATGCAGAAACACAGGTATAGTGGCAGCCTTCCTCCAGCTGCCGATCTGCGGCTGGCGCTGAGTGTCCTTATTCTGCTCGTGTTCACTGGCGCAAAGCTTCCTGATGCGGTAGCAGATTGGTCGACTGTTTGCTTGCATGATCTGGATATGTATCATTGGGCATCGTGGTTGCAAGAGTCGGTCGTGGCTTTTGGGGTGTGAAAGGGTACTAGACGGGACAAATTGAAAGCAGTCTGCTTGTACTTGACATCAAACATGCTTTGCATGCTTTGATAGATTTTGTAGGTTTATAATGGGAGGATCGCGTGACCAGACATGCATGCTGGCTTGTGCGGGTATCTTTTGTGAATGTGCTGAACCGAAGCTGGGTAGGTATTGTGCATCAGCTTCGAATCAGTAGACAACGGAGTACGACAATTCGCTCGCGATTACTTTCTGCGATTTGGACCGACAATGTCGCAGTGGACGTCGCTGCAGGTGGGTGAAGGCGTTCTTGTGAATGCGTGGCAGCAGCATCATGGCCGTATCGGTATGAGCAACGGAGTGCGCACGGTGCTGGAGCATTTTGCACGGCGAGTGGTGATGAGTGCGCCGGCAGTGCTGAATCATTTGCAACTTGGTGTCCGGTTTAGTTGGGCAAGGCCAGTAGGTTAAGCACATTGCAACATGACATTGCAACATTGCAACATGGCACGTGAACACACATATCGCGATGAAATCTACTGCAGACACGAGCCCGATAATGCATCACCATAAAAAGGTGGAAATGAAAGTGCAGGTAGAGCCGTTGACATCTCCGGTAATGTTAGCAGTGTCATGCGTCAGGTTATCGGAAGTACAAATGCGAAGAGCAGCGCAGGCATCGTGGGGAGGAGCAGACCCATGGTAGCTCTGCATCAGCACAAGGAACCTAGCAATTCTTGCCTTAACAAGACAAGTTGCCAGTAGACACCAGTGAAGACAGTGGATGCAGTCTATCTTCGGTTTCTGTTCGAGCAAAGTCTTCAAGTCGTGTTCATGCGGTTTCTGTCGTTGCAGTCTGATCTCTGTAACGCGCAGAAGTTAGAATGTGACATGTCGAAGGGGTCCTTTTGTTTGACAATTTGCAAGCCTGTTTGGAGGCCTCCCTTCAGACCCCCCGGAAAAAACAGAAGCGCAGAGCATCCTCAGAGGTTCTGCCCTGAATGTTGGAACAGCCACTGACGGTAGACTGTAGGCAAGTGTCATGATGATGACGGACAGGAAGGTTGTAGTGAATTGTGTCCGGAAGACTTGTATGATTTAGTTGGATGAAGCATATTTTGTGGCAATTGTTTGTGCCGGATGTGTGAGGATGGTCGGATGTCTTCTCGGTCGCCGGCTGCGTGTGATGAAGAGGAGATGGCTTGAGTAGCATGTCATGTGCTGTGTTATGGCACAAAGGTGGCTCGGAGTGGAATCAGTGTAGACATGTGATTGGCTCATTGCCGGATTACAACGTGCGCAGGAAACCTTCCGGCGGATCGCAGATTGCATGGTTGAGGATAAGCCTAGTCCGCAGCATGAATGCGACAGCCCCAGGACTGTTCGCTTCAAAGGCGTGCGGTCTGGGGATGCGGCAGCAAACCCATGTTTTTTATTTGTGTCAGCAACAATACGCAGTGCACGAGAGTTTTTGATGCCCCCCATAATTCCTGAAGTTGGATTTGAATGCGAAACCACCAGATGGCTGCGGTCATGATTTTGGTACAGGCTGGCACTGGCGATTGCGTCAGCGGCCCCAAGCGAGTGTTGACGTGGAGGCCTGGTTGTGAGAATCAGAGACAATCTCTGTATGCTGCTGATGATGATGATGATGATGATGATGCTGATGATGATGATGTATGGTAGATGATGATGATGATGATGATGATGATGATGATGTCACACACAACTTTGTCACACACAGCTCTTTCACAGAATCTGTCTTCCACCATCTCCTTTACCTTCGCTGCCTTTCCCCTCCCATCTTCTTGGTTGTTTTTTACTTTTGGAAGAAGTCGGCATGTGGGGTTAGCCTGTCCCAAAAGTGACGACGATGATGATTATGATGATGATGATGATGGTGATGATGATGATGATGATGATGATGATGTCACACACAACTTTGTCACATACAACTTTTTCACACACAGCTCTTTCACAGAATCTGTCTTCCACCATCTCCTTTACCTTTGCTGCCTTTCCTCTCCCATCTTCTTGGTTGTTTTTTGCTTTTGGAAGAAGTCGGCATGTTGGGTTATCCTGTCCCAAAAGTGACGACGATGATGATTATGATGATGATGATGATGATGATGATGATGTGGATATGTATGTTTTACTTAGCTGGATTGAGAAGGTGATGTGAAGGAGGAGGATGATGTCGATGATGAGGAGGATGATGATCTGACACGCCTGATACTGAGTAATCAGTTCGGTCGGATACACAGTATGTATATACTTATATTAATATATATATATATATATTTATATATATATATCTAATTTATATCTACTTAGATAGATCTATATTTATATATATATATATCTAATTTACGTCGCTTCGCGCGAGCACAGCAGGTCACTGGGAAACACAGTTGGCCGGTAATGTGCACATGTATTGACATGTGATCCTTTCTTAGTTATCAAAATCACCAGGATGATGTTGATGCTGACGATGATGGTAATCACGAGCATAAGGATGATTCTGATAATGATGATGATGATGATGATGATGTGGATATGTGTGTTTTACTTAGCTGGATTGAGTAGGTGATGTGAAGGAGGAGGATGATGTCGATGATGAGCAGGATGACGATCGGACACGCCTGATACTGAGTAATCAGTTCGGTCGGATACACCTATATATATATATATACATATATATATATATATGCATAGGGGTCTTTGATCAAGCCCCATGTACATGTACTAGAACAATGATGGTTACACAGAGGGCTAGATGGATTGAAGCACACAAAGAGTTCGGGGAGATTTCAACGGAATGGTCGCGTCCCAATCACATATTAACGGATGTCGAGAGAGTATTGTCCACCGACTCTGCGCAGGCAACGTGTGCGGAGGAGAGAGTCACATATACTGATGGTGCTGGCCCGCGTAGACCCGTGTCACGCGCGGCCCGAAGAAATAATTTGAGAGTCGCTGAGTAGAGGCAACAGCAAGCCATGTTCTGCCGACAGGGTGAGAAATATCAGTTCAAACATATGACAGTAAAGGTTACGTCGGAGAATTGCAGCATAGTTTTCATGGCTGGAAACCGGTGGGCGCCGGCACGGCTTGGCTTGTGACCAAAGATGGTCTCTATGCAGTAGATGGAATGCCAATTCATAATTCTGACACTTGGCAGCCGTGAAGTTGTCGAAAGGCGCAAGGTGCTGCGAAAAGAGGAGCTGGTGGACGCGTGTTGTGTGCACGACCGCAAGTACTTATGCACTGGGGTCTGTTTGATTTGAAGACATGCATGTAATTGGTGAAGGGCAGCTGTTTGATTTGATAGCAATGAATATGATTGTTCAAGGGGGGCTCGTTGATTTGATAGCAATGAATGTAATGGTTCAAGGGGGGCTCGTTGATATGATAGCAATGAATATAATGGTTCAAGGGGGGCTGGTTGATTTGATAGCAATGAATGTAATTGTGCCAGGGGGGCTGGTTGATTTGATACCAATGAATGTAATGGTTCAAGCGGGGCTGGTTGATATGATACAATGAATGTAATGGTTCAAGGGGGGCTGGTTGATTTGATACCAATGAATGTAATGTTCAAGGGGGGCTGGTTGATTTGATAGCAATGAATGTAATGGGGGGGGCTGGTTGATTTGATACCAATGAATGTAATGGTTCAAGGGGGGCTGGTTGATTTGATAGCAATGAATGTAATGGTTCAAGGGGGGCTGGTTGATTTGATACCAATGAATGTAATGGTTCAAGGGGGGCTGGTTGATTTGATACCAATGAACGTAATGGTTCAAGGGGGGCTGGTTGATTTGATAGCAATGAATGTCATGGTTCAAGGGGGCTGGTTGATTTGATACCAATGAATGTAATGGTTCAAGGGGGGCTGGTTGATTTGATACCAATGAATGTAATGGTTCAAGGGGGGCTGGTTGATTTGATAGCAATGAATGTAATGGTTCAAGGGGGGCTGGTTGATTTGATAGCAATGAATGTCATGGTTCAAGGGGGGCTGGTTGATTTGATACCAATGAATGTAATGGTTCAAGGGGGGCTGGTTGATTTGATACCAATGAATGTAATGGTTCAAGGGGGGCTGGTTGATTTGATACAATGAATGTCATGGTTCAAGGGGGGCTGGTTGATTTGATACCAATGAATGTAATGGTTCAAGGGGGGCTGGTTGATTTGATAGCAATGAATGTCATGGTTCAAGGGGGGCTGGTTGATTTGATACCAATGAATGTAATGGTTCAAGGGGGGCTGGTTGATTTGATACCAATGAATGTCATGGTTCAAGGGGGGCTGGTTGATTGATACCAATGAATGTAATGGTTCAAGGGGGGCTGGTTGATTTGATACCAATGAATGTAATTGTGCCAGGGGGGCTGGTTGATTTGATACCAATGAATGTCATGGTTCAAGCGGGGCTGGTTGATTTGATAGCAATGAATGTAATGGTTCAAGCGGGGCTGGTTGATATGATACCAATGAATGTAATGGTTCAAGGGGGGCTGGTTGATTTGATACCAATGAATGTAATGGTTCAAGGGGGGCTGGTTGATTTGATAGCAATGAATGTAATGTTCAAGGGGGGCTGGTTGATTTGATACCAATGAATGTAATGGTTCAAGGGGGGCTGGATTGATTTGATAGCAATGAATGTAATGGTTCAAGGGGGGCTGGTTGATTTGATACCAATGAATGTAATGGTTCAAGGGGGGCTGGATGATTTGATAGCAATGAATGTCATGGTTCAAGGGGGGCTGGTTGATTTGATAGCAATGAATGTAATGGTTCAAGGGGGGCTGGTTGATTTGATACCAATGAATGTAATGGTTCAAGGGGGGCTGGATGATTTGATAGCAATGAATGTCATGGTTCAAGGGGGGCTGGTTGATTTGATAGCAATGAATGTAATGGTTCAAGGGGGGCTGGTTGATTTGATACCAATGAATGTAAGGGTTCAAGGGGGGGCTGGTTGATTTGATACCAACTCTTACATCAAGTACAACAAGGCTTTTGTTTCATATATTCACCTTCATTTTCTGTGGCAGGCGTGGGACCTTTTGGCATCGACCTTCATTTTGCGTGGCAGGTGTGGCACTTTTGTACATGGAGTGTCCTTTTACGTGGCAGGCGTGGGACTTTATGACATGGTTGAAACGAGTAAAATTCTCATACGAGGCGTTTTTTTGTGTTGGTCTCGCTTTGGAACGCGTTTTTCTTCCAAAGTCTCGCGCCTGTCAGTAAATCTGATGTGTGTGTGTGTATGGCTGTGTTCTGAAGTGATGTTTGATTTTGTGTTCTGAAGTGATGCAAAATGGCTGTGTTCTAAAGTGATGCCTGAGAGTGTGTTCCAAAGTGATCCTGTTACCCTCCCATTCTATCTGGCATATCTTCTGGCATTCTATCTGACATATCTTCTGACATTCTATCTGACATCTTTTCTGACATTCTATCTGGCATATCTTCTGGCATTCTTTCTGACATTCTATCTGACATCTTTTCTGACATTCTATCTGGCATATCGTCTGGCATTCTATATGGCAGATCTTCTGGCATTATATCTGGCATATCTTCTGGCATTCTATCTGGCATACCTTCTGGCATTCTATCTGGCATTCTATCTGGCATATCTTCTGGAATATCTTCTGGCATATCTATCTGGCATATCTTCTGGCATATTTTATGGCATTCTACCTGGCAAATCTTTCCCTGCCGGACCTCATGTAGGAAGATATGGGACAAAGAATGTGCAGAAGAAAGTTAGAAAGAATGTCAGACAAGTATGTGATATATTACTTGCGAACTTGCAGGTGTGTGGTAGTGTGATCAGTCAATTTGGACGGAGGTGTGCTGGTTGATTTGCGTCGTGGTGGTGGCCTAGAGGATGCGGACTGGTGGCTAGCCATCTATGTCATGCTGACGCGTGCCCGCAAACTGAAGAATCTCATCTTGCTGGGGTTCACGGAGCAAGTGGAGGAGCTTTTACGCAAAGGCCCTCCTACCTACTTGCGAGAACTGACTGACAAGTTGGAAGCCAAAGCTGCTTCGACGCTGGAGCGGCTGCAGTCCTGGCCTGTCTATGATGCATTGCAAGCATCCTGACACAGTGCTCTGCCAGTGGGACCTAATCGGTTTTGATTGAAGAGGTCTGGTGGAGAAATAGAGAGTTGCAGCTGCAGCGATCTGATGAAGTAACACTGGCATGGTTTTGTCGAGTTTACACGTGAGCTTGCGAGCCTTTGACTTTGGTTCAGGGGTCCACTGGCTTGGTTCAGTCATGTTTGTACAAACATGTTTGACAGGCGGCGTGCTGACATGTTTGGGCATGTTTGTTTGTTTGGCTCAGGTGGTCCACTGCCCTGTTTGGTCATGTTTAAACAAACCTGTTGAGAGCTCTGGAGTTTACTTCACATGGTCCACTGACATGTTTATATCCTGTTTGACAGTCTGACCTGTACAATGACCTGCCAGGTGAAACAAATGATTGGGATAGTTAGTTGGGCAAAAGTCCCGTGACAAAAGCTTCAGACAAAAGTGCTGTCAACAAGCTGTTTTGAAATGTCATGGTGGGGATCACTCGAAGTAAAGTAATTTTTTGCTGGAAGAGGGCAGACATTTACAAGATTTGATTTACTAAATGCCAAAAACCTGGAAACTAACTCATAGTCAGTTTTGCTGTCATGTCTACCTCTGTTCGTTTTTTCTGCGGAAGTATTTCGGCAAATGTTCAACCCCAGGAAGTAGGATCCAGCAACACTGAATCTTTGCTCAAACCTCCAAGGGTCGGGCATGACAAGATGATATGTTTTCCATTGAATGCGTTTTCCTTTTCAATAAGCTGCTGTGCCTTCGAAAAGTCAGCGTTTTTACAGTTTTGACTCCGGTTCCGTGCTTTCCATTGCTCGTTGCATGTTTTAAGAAAAGATAAAACAGGTGACACCGTTACCCCTACGCAGGTGCCCGCACATGCCCTGAAAATTGTATTCCGGCATCGCTAAAGTTAAGAACCTGTTTCCTTATATGCTCTTATATCGGTCTATATCAGAAAATAGCGACTACTTTTCATTTTTCAAGCTTTGAAATGGACATAGATGATTTGTTCATGATTTCAGCAAAACATTTTTTTGGAGGCCGGTATATCAGAAACAGATTCCGTACCCAGCAAAAGTGTATAAACAATAAACTAAAAAACGCATATACCCGCACAAATATGTTTTGTCAACTTTGATGCCACACTGGCCGCCCCCAGGTAGTCGGGGAGGCTGATGGTTCCTGCTGACCGACCAACAGTCAGAGATTAAGAGGGGTGCCTCCAATTTGAAATGAAACGAATCAAAACCATTACCAAAGGGGGTGCTTTTGCGAAAACGCCTGTGGACACCTCATGTTATTGTTTTTTGCACTTCATCAACAAAATTTTGGAACCGTGCCTCACCCGTAATCTGAAATCGCCTCGCTGGACTTAGTACTTGAGGCCAGGGGGACGGTACGAAAGCTAGCAGGGTTGGGGCAGGGTGGTAATCATGAAGGGGGATTAGCAAGGTGAAGTCGGAATGCGGCAACAGTCTTACATTGTTCCCGAGAGCGTCTGAGCGCAGGGTTTTTCCAATATAGTGGGGGTCTGTCTCTCATCTTCTCATCTTCACATCTTCTCACTTCACATCTTCTCACTTCACATCTTCTCATCTTCACATCTTCACATCTTCTCACTTCACATCTTCTCATCTTCACATCTTCTCATCTTCACATCTTCTCATCTTCACATCTATCTGCTCATCTTCACATCTGCTCATCTTCACATCTGCTCATCTTCACTTCTTCACATCTGCTCATCTTCTCATATTCACATCTTCACATCTTCATCACATCTTCACATCCTCACATCTTCACATCTTCTCCTCTTGCCCTCTTGCCCTCTTGCCCCTCTTGCCCTCTCCTTCTTTTCTATTTCTCTTCTGAAGGCGGG